TGCTGAGACAGTGGTGTCAGGTATACTCTCAATTTGCTCTCAAGATGCATACATATTAATCGATTCGGGATCTACACATTCATTCATATCTGTTAAGTTTGCCGAGAAATTAAATAGAGAACAAGAACCCCTTGATTATCTGTTACATGTGGCTACTCCATCTGGGAGAACTATGATTGTTGCATCCATTTATAGGGCATGTATTGTTGTGATTGAGGGTGTAGAATTATTAGTTGATTTAATGCCGTTAAGCATGACCCATTTTGATGTCATATTGGGGATGGACTGGTTAGTAGCGAATCACGCATCTATTAATTTTGTTTCAAAGAATGTCACATTGAAACCCCTAAACCAAGCCGAGGTTATTTTCCAGGGTAAAGGAGTAGTACCCCCACCTTACTTAATCTCATCTATGAAAGCCTATAAATTGATCCAAAAAGGGTGTCGAGGTTACCTGTGTAGTATACTAAGTAATCTGAATGGAAGCGTTGAGCTAGCCGACATCCCAGTTGTCAAGGAATTCCCCGACGTCTTCCCAAATGACTTGCCTGGCTGCTTGTCGATAGAGAAATAGAATTTACGGTTGATATTATGCCGGGAACCCAACCTATCTCCAAAACACCCTACAGAATGGCCCCAGCTGAACTTAAAGAACTGAAACTGCAATTACAAGAATTGTTGGGTAAGGGATTTATCAGACTGATAGGGAGCACCCGTTCTGTTTGTTAAGAAAAAGGATGGCACACTTCGTCTTTGTATTGACTACCGAGAACTGAACAAGGTAACCATTAAGAACAAGTATCCGTTGCCGAGGATCGATGATTTGCTTGACCAACTACAAGGGGCACGAGTCTTTTCTAAGATTGACCTCAGGTCGGGCTACCACCAGCTAAAGGTTAAGGTCGAGGATGTCGAGAAGACTGCTTTCCGGACAAGGTATGGCCACTACGAATTTTTGGTAATGCCTTTCGGATTGACCAATGCTCCTGCAGCATTCATGGATTTAATGAATATGGTCTTCAAGCCGTACCTAGATGAGTTCGTGGTTGTTTTCATCGACGACATATTGATCTATTCCAAGAATGAAGTTGAGCATGAGAAGCACTTGGGGCTAGCCTTACAAGTCCTGAGAGACAAGAAATTATATGCCAAGCTTAGCAAGTGTGAATTTTGGCTCTCCAGTATCTCGTTCTTAGGGCATGTGAATAACGAAGAAGGTATTTCAGTCGATCCAAGTAAGATTGAAGCCGTTGTGAACTGGCCGACACCGACTAATGTATCTGAGATTCGTAGTTTTTTGGGTTTG